TTTATAAATCATTAAATTGACTTACAATTAAAAGGCAGAAAGAATAAATCATTATAAATATTTTCAAAAAGTTATCTAGAAATGTAACATATAAATACTGTTAGTATATTTTTTAGTAAATAGATAATATTATTAATTTAAATTAAAATAGCACTATAATTAAGTTATAATTATTTATATATTATATATATTTTTTACATTTTTATTCATACTAGTTTTTCCCCATGCATTTGCACGTAAAGTGATATAGTAGAATAAAAAGTAAAATAAAATCAAAATCATAACTTAATAAATGAGAAAAAAATAATTTAAAAAATTGAATATAAATATTATTAAACACTTATTTAAATACAAAATTCGTGGTTTTCCAATCGTCAGAATTCTCATCACAACAATTCGTTAAACCTCTTAACTCGTGACTCTGCGATTTGATATTTCAAAATATTTGATGTATCTTTGTAATATCTAAATTTTTTTTTTATTATTATTGTATAACTGCAATAGAAAATAAAGATATTTGTATTAATTCTTAATTAGTTGAGAAATATATATTAATTAATACCAGCAAATATATAGTATCAAAACAAAAATAAAAATATTTTATATTTCAAGACATAAAAAGGCGTTACATAAATGGAAATCATAAAAAATGGAACTTGTTAAATTAAATTGTGTAACTGAAAGTTACATATTATTATTAAATAATGAACATATTTTTATTAAATAAACACCTATATTTATTAAATGAACTCATATTATTATTAAATATTGCTGGATGAATAAAATTTATTGAAGTTTGCCAGCAATTATATATATAGATTTTGTATTTTTTTCTTTTTATATGTATGTATATATAATAAATTTTATAAAAATTTAGGGGGGCCCCTGGACCTCATATAGATCCGTCCTTGGCACCGGTCATCGAACCAGTGAAAGTACTGGTTCAATGGTTTACTGGTCGAACCAGCGGCATTTTAATTAATATATAATTTTTTATTTTTATATGTATATTATATAAAAATGTATATATATTTTTATCATTAATTTTAAAGTGTATGACATTTCTCTAAATAAGAGTTCAATAATATATACAACCGACAATGTTTAATAATGTTGTTAACTTTTTTTTCTTATTTTTTTTTATATTTAAAATTTTAATCTATATTTAAGTTACAAAATAGAGAGAATAGAAACAACCCAATTTTCATTTTAAATCACATTTTAAATTTTTTTATTATTGATTAAAAAATAAAAAATAAAAATATTGTGCATAACAAACAACAATAAATTGCTTCTTTTTTTTAAAAAAAAAAAAGAAATAGAAATAGATATAGCCCAACTGATAATCCACTTCAAATAACAATACATTTTTTTAATGAATACAATTTTGGTTGTTAGACCCAATAACTTCAGCAAAGAAACATATCACACATAGAAAATATAAGTAAAAAAAGTGTGCTATTTAAACCACTTAACAATCTACCAAATTCAAATTCATAAGCTTGAACCGGTGAACCATTCAAATCGGTCCCGGTTCACCGGTTCAACCGGTTTTAGGCCGGTTCGAATTTGTTCTTGATCGATTCTCCTACATAGCGGTTTGATGGCTCAAACTGGACTGGAATGATGGACCGGGAACCGGCCGGTCCGGTCCAGTTTTCAAAATCATGCTCATAATACGACAAATTATATATTACGCTTGCTAAAATGAGTTTACTGTTATTATTTTTATTACCTTTTCTATTGAGAATCGCTAACGGAAAATAAAATAACATTTCATCTAAAAATAAGTAAATTCTCGTTACTAATACAATATCCGTGTATTAGATGAATGCTTGTTAAAAAAATATACCTAAATTTTAAAAGTAATGTTACAATATCCGTGTATTAATGTGTGCTTGTTAAAAATATTTACATAATCATGCAAAAAAAAAATATTTACATAAATTTATAAAGTAATAAAAAAGGTATGTTTTAATTTATTTATTTATTTGAAAAAAATATATGATGATTATTATTATATATATTTAAAATGACACTATCATCTTATATTATAATAGTTTTTTTTAACTTATATCATAACTATTTTATAGTCAAATTTCTTTAATAGATGAATTTTATTTGTAAATATAGATATGATTATTTATTTACTTATCATACAATATAGATGCCAAATCGAAGTTAATGATTTATATATAAAAAATTGATTACAAATATAGAAGTTAACTTTTAAAATATATTTACAGTTTAATTTAGTGAAGTGTATTATAATTAAAAGAAAAAAAAATAGTGAGAAAAAAAAGGATTGAGACAACAAATTTCATAGCTTATAAAACACATCCTGAATAAGAAATTTTTTAAAACACAATTAATGCTAATAAAAATGATCATAAATATTCATTATATTAATGCATAATTCCAAGCTTATCTATTTATAGATTGAAAGTAAATTGAAAGTTATTCAAGTCAAAAGACGAAGTTTGAAATTTTACCAAATAAGACTCCGAACGTACGAGCGTACCAATTAAACATATCACATTCAAAAATTATATACAGATAATAGGTAATTTTTGTACAACATGCACAAATTTTAAAAATATATATATGACATTTAACTTCAAAATTATATAGATGGATGAGGTGTCATTTGTTGGGCCAAGCCCATTATGTGATGGCCACCTAAACTCCACCCGCCTTCCCGTGTCACCTCATGTTTCACCTAATGGGTTGTCTTCATCAGCCCACCAGACAAGTGGACGGCCCGGATTACGCGATCGAATCCCAAATGATGCTTCATAATGCCTTATTAATAATTCCCCACTATTTGTTTCAGCTTGGTTGCAACGCAAGCTACGGTTACAGCTCGGCTCATAGGCTCCAAAGGCTAGAATTGATTTTCTATATTTATTATATTTCGTTTTTCTATCATTTATATATATATATATAATTGTTGAGAAACTTCATTTAATTTTATTCAGTTTCAATTAATAATAATATGAATTAATAATAATATGAGTTCATTTAATAAAAATAGATTGCATTTAATAAAAATTTTTACGACCTCCATCCAAAAGCTGTTACAACATATTTTTTCTTTTAATTTATTTCATACAATCATCTACTTATTTTTTACTATATTTTGGATTTGTAACGGTTTAATGCGATTACCATTTTTTATTTCTCTATATTTGGAGAATGTAACTGTTGCATGGTTACAAGACAATGTTTAAACCGTTAAATTTGAATGGTTAAAATTATTTTTTTAATTTATATATTAACTATTCACATGCAAAAAGAGTTATTAAGTATTGATATGCTATAGATACAACTAAAATATATATAAGAAAGTCATCTTTTGTAATAGAGATTTTTACACCAGCTCATTCAAATTCAAAATTTTCATGCAAAATTGTACACTATATTAGTTGAATTTAATGAAAAATAATTATCCATTTTATTTTATATAATAAATACAGTGATGAATTTGGATATTTTTATGATGTTCATTTTTATTAACGGCAAAATTTTTAAAATGTGATACTACTATTTAACTTGTAATTTTACAATTATACACATACAAGTAACTTATAAGTTATAATAATTTAAATTTTTGTGCATGTGCACAGGATCAAATATTAGTTAATCCTACTACAATTGTATTTAATCATGAAAACATAGCACATATGTTTATTTTGGTAATTGAAAACCATTCTTATAGTTTCTTTTTTCAATTTCAATATTTTCCTTTGACAAAATGTAAGAAATATATATACTACTTTTTAATTTTTAAACACGAATTAAGTAGTCAATTCAAATGAAATAATTTTATCCATTGAACCGTGACTGGGTAATAGATTTTGTCAGTCAATTGACAACTGGAACACTAAGCGGAAGATTATTATGTAAAAATACTTTAACCGTAATAATTGCATGTTTAAGGTTAAGAAAACATAAATTGACGTCTTATCCACTTTGTTCACACTTAAATAGTCCCACATGTTAAAAGTTAAAACTATAATAATCCTTAATCAATTCCGCTAATCCTGCTATGCTCTTTGGATTGGTGGATCAAAGCCAAGAAACAATAAATCACATAAATACTAACTATAGAGACTATTACTAATGTTAAGTCGTTAATAAATAATCAACGGTTAATTAAATCAAATCTATTAATCACGCTCTGTTGAAAAAAGATGATTTGTGTCCTATTCAAAAGAATCCCAAAATGTGACAAAAACTTGTGCCTCTGCATACTCTAGTGACTGTCAAACTCAGCGTGTAGTTGAGGATAGCAGAGAGAGAGAGAGAGAGTCCATGGTTTTCTCTCTCTATATGTATATATGTATATACGTGTATATATATCCAATTTAGATATTATGATGTCCTCTCACGCGGACTTGCAGAGATCATTCACATCAACACAATAAGAAACAAGGGGACACAAAGAGTGATTAAAAATATATATGACATATAATTGTCCTTTTCCCTCATATCCTTATATTTTGTTTTTCCCCATTTCTTGAATTATCATTTCAATTACAAAAGATCAAAGTTTTTTTAGGGTTCTTTCTTCTCTGAAAAGCTTCAATTTTTTACCCTTGACAGCCTGAAACGTTTTCTTGAGGTNTTTCCTTTTTTATTGTCATCTATTTTTCAATCTCCAAAACCCATCTCTCAAACACTCCAAAAATCAAATCTTGATAATAAAGATTCCAACTTTAAGAGGAAAAAGGTCTGATTTTTATTCTTCATCAGCGATTAAATTAAGCAAAAAAAAATAAAAAATGCAGAGCTTTACGCAAAACCCACAATTTGTTGAGCAAGAAAAATTGAAGTGCCCGAGATGCGACTCGACCAACACCAAATTCTGTTATTACAACAACTACAACCTTTCTCAGCCGCGCCATTTTTGCAAGAGCTGCCGGAGGTACTGGACCAAAGGCGGCGCCCTCAGGAACATCCCCGTCGGCGGCGGCTCCAGGAAGAACGCCAAGCGCGGCTCAGCCGCCGCCGCCGCCAAGCGGACGGCTCCGGAGGAGAGGAACGAGGCGCCGCTGGCCCCCAAAGCCGACGGCTCCGAACAGGGGCAGTTCGGTAATTTCGAGGTGTCCGGTGGGCAGAGCGAGGCGCTTCCCCTGAAGCTGGACGATTTCGGGCAGGGGCAGTTGGGTCATTTGACGGCGGCCGGCGGCGGCGGGGTCGGGAAGGACGACTGCGGGGCGCTGCCCCTGAAGCTGGACGATTTCGGGCAGGGGCATTTTGGTAATCTGGCGGAGGTGAGCGGCAGTTTCAGCTCTCTGTTGGCGGGCCCGTCGGGCGGGGCCCAGTATGGTGGTTTGCTTGATGGGCTTGGGCCCGGTGGGCCCAGCTTGCAGACGAGCGATCTGTTTTGCGATCCGGGCTCGGGTCAGAGCGTGGACCCTCAGTCTGATGGATTCTTGAACATCGGCGGCGGGGATGGCGGCGGCAGCTGGGGCGGCAGCGGCGGATGGCCTGATCTTGCTATTTAGAGAATTAACGGATGGATTCCTTTTTTCTTTTTATTTTAATTTATTTCTTTTTTATCCAGTGTTTGGGTTGAGAAACTTTTTTATTTGAAACAATGAAAATCTAATTATAGCGTTGCGAAAAATTTGGAAGTTTATATGTTGATTGTGATGTAGATTTCTATAGTTGTTTTTTTTTATTTTTTTTTTATTTTTTTTATTTTTTTTT